GTTCAAGATCAAACTCTATTGATGTTCGTCTTCTGCTCGCAGTAACTCTCATCTCAGTGACCCAAATGAATCAAGACTAAGTCTACAGGATAGATGATTCAAACGGCTCGAACTTTGGTGAAGAACCTAACTCCATCTGAGGTCGGCAAGGCTTTCTGGTAAGTTGATCTTTAAGGCGCATTGCACTGGTCCGGATTGGCTTCTAGACCTGTGCTTTCTCTGTTTGCGTTATCTCGCAGCTCACAGCTCTAAATCTCTTCAATCGAAGCGTTCTGGCTCTTTTCTCATCAGCTCATGCAATGTTGGTTCGAAATGACATCTCTCTGAAGTCAAGTTTTCTATAAAAGAATCAAATGATACTGCAAATCCAGCAAATGGCTTTTGAGAAAAGAGACTCTACAAGCTTAAATACAAAAGTTGACTTCAGAGAGATGTCATTTCGAACCAACATTGCAGGGAGCTGATGAAGCCTCGGTTGGTTTCATAATGTAAAGAGGTAATTCGATTTTGCATGACTTTGTCAATGTGCTTAGCAAGTTATGGCATTGAGTTGTATCCAGAGTGGTGTATGCGAGTATTTTGCTCTCTCCATATCGAATAGACTGTCACCTGAAAACTAGCTGAATCAGAATCATGTCAAGGTGGATACCTTGGTAAGCAACAAGAGATCGAATAGTTTCCGTTCATTCAGGGTTAAGATGGTTTCCCAGAAGTCTCCCCAGTACGTCAGACTAGACGGTGAATGAATACGGGCATGCAAAGGGGGATATGATCCCACGTTTTGTCTCGTTTACCACATAGCACACAGGCTTGCTCTACTTCTGAGCGGTGCATACGGTCTCCTGTCAAGACCTGATTATGCATGGCCAACCAGGTGATAAATCTAACATCGGGGGATGCCATGATTGAACCATAGGAGCTTCCACCATTGTATCATAGGATAGTGCATACGGATCTGGTTCCAAGTGCGAGATGAAGAAAAGCTTTCATAATACATTATGGGTCATGTCTCCAAAGATAGCAGTCGGGACCATTGTCATCACGAGGGAGTGGTTGAGTTCAAATATTAGCAAGCTGGCGGATCAGTGTTCGTCGAATATGAGCCCATTATGTCAGAGAACTGGCCCATAGGTAACCACCTGTCGTGCCAAAATTATATTGAGGCTCCGTCCCGAGCCACACACTAGAGGAATGTAGAAGCTTTATCTCTTAGTTTTATGAGTTTTCTCCAAATCTAAGACCCCATAGTGCTATCTGGTGCTGTCCAAAAACTTGTGTTTCAGACCAGGTTGTGCTTCGTTAAAAGCACCCAAAGAGAACTCGAGACAGAGAGTGAGCGCTAGATCAAGCTCAGATCGAAAACCCGGGAGACATCACGTAACCATCGGATGCCCAAACCGCCCTCTGCTTTTGGTATGCAAAGATCCACCCAGATCTGAATGATGGGTCTCAACTTGGGAGGAAGAACCGGTAAGAGATAAAACCATCCATTCCGGTTCTATATTTGTTCAACCTTTGCACCTGTAGAGTTATTCGGGTTGCCAGACCAGAGAAAAGCTCCACAGAGATGTTCAATTTCATCTAAACAACACATCGGGAGAGGAAACGCGGAGCACCAAAAATTGGCAGTGCTTATGATAACATAGGCAATAAGCTGTAGCCGGCCCACATATGAAAGATGTTTGCATATCCAAGAGAGCATTTTCGTTCGAATTATTGACTAGTGGAGCATAATTCTGCTTTGTCATCATCTTCGTGGTTAAAGGGAGACCTAGATACCGAATTGAGAGGGATTCCACTGGTATACCAAGTTCTGCTGCTGTGGTATACAATACTTGTTAATTTTGTTACAATTATATATAGGCTTGATATTCTCGAGAACTTGACGAATATCGTAAACATTTCCCGAATAGAGGACGAAGATCCATCTGTGAATACAAGGATATCGTCGGCAAATGTGAGATGAGTAACCCGAACCTGATTGCACCAAGGATGGCAGCCAATTCTGCCACTCTCCACAGCGGGGTTCTGGAGTCTGGATAATGCATTTTAGACAATGACAAATAAATACGGTGATAAAGAAAATCCTTGTCGAATACCCCTTGTGCTATGGAAAAATCCCTCCGGCTCTCCATTGACAATAACAAAAAAAATGAGCAGTAGAGATACATTGATAAATCCAGTGAATAAAAAGCTCAGGAAAGCCTAACACCCATAAAATCCCAGGGATAAAGCTCCATTGGACTGTGTGAAAAGCCTTTGATATTTCAAACTTGATGGTGTTACGAGGGCGATGGAATCCTTGTGATAATCCTTCATAAGCTCTGTGGCGAGAAGAACATTATCCAGAAGCAGTCTCCCATTTATAAAAGCACTTTGATTTGTTCGATAAAATCAGGTAGAGTTGCCCTTAACCTATTTGCGAGAATCTTTGATATAACCTTGTAAACCATATTGCAACATGCGACCGACCTATAGTCTTTCATAGTAACACATGTACCATCTAGCCTTTTGGGATAAAGCATTTGGTACATGCCCCCCAAAATATATAAATTTTGTGTGTCCTCATTTTTAGATGTATGACGTATGAGAGTGGTTTTTTTTTTGTTGACTTTTGCACTATAAGCCCAAGGAAATTACAAGTTGTGGAGTTAAGTCCAACAGATACAAATTTAAGCCCATAAAGAGAACTGCGTGTTACAAGCAAGGCAATAAAGAGACACGTGTATAAAACGAGTTTGCAAAAGAGTTGGGTTGGAAACGCAACCGACTCAAGCACGGTAAGCTTCACCGGAATCTGGGAAATCCATTATCCTCCGGCAACAATATCCAGCAAAGGCAGTCGCTTGATTCACGGCCACACCACCACACATCCTTCTACGTAAATTACCGAGTGTTTAGAACAAAGACTCGCAAGCTATTCAATTTTTGAAGTACGAGAAGTCATGGCAAGTCTAGAGATTAGAGTAGTCGCAGAACTTTGCTCTCCTGTTCCGTTCAAAACCCACCAATGATCTTCATAAACACGATTCTTTTGCACGCGAAGAAACCTTCATCCAAAGCCGTTTTAGGCCCCAATAGGGGGTATGAAGGAATTCACTCTCCTGATACTAGGAATCGAGCAGATCGGCGAAAGCAGAGTCTCCGAGCAACACATAGATTTTATCTCCTCCGATATAAGAAGATGAAAGAGTTGCAAAAGGATTGATACAAACTAAACTAAACTAACTAGAGAAAAACCGAACACAGTCGGAAATGAAATCCGAAAGTCAGAATTATTAACTCCGGCCTGATACAAGCATCAGGCTGTCAAGGGCTTGTAGAATCTCGGAAGCAAAGCCTGGTAGATGGCTAAGGAGCAACTCTAACCAAGGAATCAGTTGATGGAAAGGAAATAAATGGATGGGGGATCGAAGTGCACCACACAAGTTGTGAAAATACTTGTGATACAAGATAGATTGTCGGCTCTAGGAGGTACTGGTCTCAACTAGAGAAAAGAAGAACAAGTTTTGCCCAAAAAACTTAAGTAAGAAAATTCTCGTTTTATTAATATCAAAGGTGAAAAATTACAAGGCTGTAATGAGACCTTATATACTAGTCCTAGCAGCTTTGACTCAAAGAAATAAAAAGACTCAAAACAACACGACTTTTTAAAGTAAAGACTCAAAACAACAAGACCTGTAACTTGAAAATGCAACATTAATGGGAAATAAAAAAGGAAAGAAAATACTACTAAACTAATTGTCTATGCTAGGAATCAAAGACAAGAACTCGTTAGTCAAAGAAATAAAAACTGATTGAACACTTACCTTATTTGGTGGCTGAGACTAGTGTGTCTTTGACTAAGCTTTGAATCTTTCCTCTTAAGTGTCTTGGTGCATTGGTGAGATAGTCAGTATGTAGACTTGGGCTTGATTTGGTAAAAAGGGTCAGACATCTTGATGGCTGTTTTCTATCCTTTGACATTCTTCAAGTAACCCGGTCCAAGCTTGTTGTTGATGGGCTTCACTATACGGCTTCTTTAGCTCATGGTCTTCTCTCGACCTGACTTGATCCACTTGAGACATTGCTTGCGCTTTGGTTGTACTTGTTTTGGAGGATCTTGGCTCTTGGTCTTGTTATTGGGCCTTCATGAATAGTTGGTACTTCAACATCTTGTAGTTGTGGCTCGGTTAAATCTGGCTAGCTTGAATGTCATCACGGCCGGAAAAACATCGGATGTTAATCTGAATTTTTACATCAAAAGAAGAAAACACTCTCTCTTTGTGAAAAAACATTTTAGAGAGAAAACGGAGATAGAGAGTATGGTAGACTTACTCATCTACCGTTGTATGAGAGTAGTTTAATTTAATGGGTTTTGCGTATTCAAAATTTCAAGTTGCCTTTGTTTTTCGTTTTTTCTTTTTATTTTAAAACACAATTTTTAAATAAAACCAAACATCCAAAATTGAAAAATGGTAATCTAAATCCCAAATTGAATAAAATGATTTTTTTTTTTTGAATTTATAGTTTACTACTTTACTTATCAGGATTATGTTTTTTTACGTAAAAAGAAAAAAAAAATTAGTTACTTTTATATATTTTCTTTATTATATTCTAGATTTTTTCTTTTAATCTATTCTTGAAGCATAATCCATGTTTCTTCTTTTTTCACCTGCTTTATTGGTGTCTATTATTTTTGCCACCAAAATGACACCGTTTTGATCGTGGTACTTCTTTTTCTCTTTCATTTGTAGTATTTCTTTAGTACTATATGACAATTTTTTCTAGATCGAATTTGAATTCAGATATTTTCTTTTAATTTTATGTCATCTGACTTTTTAAAGAATGAATTTATGGCTAATTTTATTTTATTTTTTAAATTAAAAACTCAAAACTATAATCTTATAAATTTAAATCCATAAAACCCAAGAAAATAAATTTTAGAAGGCCTATATCAAAACTAAAAAACCCTAATCCTACTAGCTCTATATAAATAATTGAGAGAGAAGAGAATGGAAAGAGAGAATATTACAGTGAAGCTTTACTGGATTGTCGCCAGCGGGAGAATCTCTGAACCAGTAGTAGAGCATGAGGAAGGAAAAGTGAGAGGGAATCAGAACCGAAGGCCGAAGTTTCAGGGAAATTTACCGTCGAACCATAGAGAAACAGACGCTAATCTTGGTACCATTGGAAAGATGTTTCTCTCAGCTTTCAAGAACATCCTTATTTGCTCGATTTGGAGATGTGGTTTGGGAGTTATTTCTGTTTCTTTCAGAGAAGTCGAATCTGTTCAAATCTGAACATCTGTTTTCAGGTCTGCTTTTCCAGTTTCAAGTGGTGGTTTGGAGAGGACGATTCCGACCAGATCTGAGCAGTAGAGAAAAGATTTGGGGTGTGTTTCAACCGCAACGCTATTTTTCAAACTTGACTTTTCGATGTGAACACAAGGTGAAGATTAGTTTGTAGATTCCTAAGATGCATTAATTAACGAGTAACATATGCTTGGCATAGGGCTTAGACATAAATGGTGATTGATAATTGTTGCATATTGAATAGTAACTGAGAGATAATATTGATTTGTTAAGTGTGTTAGTCTAAATGTTAGAAACAGTATGGACACGATTGCCACCATTGTGTACACTGTTATTTGATGGTAAGATTATTGTGAAGTTGTAATGATCGAGAAAGGGCTTACAACCTATTGTCAAACCCTGAAGTTGGCGATGACACTTTGTTGCTTGTCAAACCCGATATAAACGGTGGCAGAGAATGAGTAACTTGGACATGGTTCTTAGGAATTTGAAGTAGACTTGTTAGAATGAATGCTGTGAAGTGAGAGATTTGTATGTAGAAATGTTTATCTTTTTTATCCTGATTTTCATTTCTCAGATAAGTTTATGTTTGTTTTTGGACTATATTTGTTATTCTGACAGAAAGAAGATTCTAAAAAAATTCTTCTACTTACAGGAAAACGATCATTTCTACTAATATTTCAGTGATGTCAAGTTTAATAGTGAGAAGGGTATCGTGTGAAGATATACAAGTGGTAACACAAACAACACTTTACATTTTCTCTACAAAGTTATACTCATTTGCATTTTATTTTTAGTGGTAATCCTCTAGAATAGTACATCATTTTGGGAAAATCGTGAAAATAATATAATGTACTATTCTTACATATTTTTTTTCCAAACGCTGTACAATTTTTTTATTAGTTGGTCATTTTGTACTATTTTTAAAATTCTCTCTTTGATTTATATTAGAGATTGTCTTTCCTAAGCTTCGATGTGTATATTTCCTTGGAAAAGACATTGCCTCAGTGGCTCTGATGGTTATCTCTATCTCTTGCTAGGGTAAAAGGACACGAGAACAGCTTTGGTGCGATGATGCCGTCTCTACAGCTCCTGCAAAGTCTTTAGAGAATAAGATTGATTCAAGCTTTGGGAAAAAATGCCGAAAACTGAAATCTTGTGTTCCATCCTCACATCATTGCTTATCTTCACGACAAACGGTGCATGCTTCAAATTCACCAAATTGTAAAGATGTTAGTCTGAAGACTCTCAAAGATGTAGCCCATAAAGAAGTTAGTGTGAAAACTCTCAAAGATGTTGCCCCTGACTCAAGCGAAACCAGACCATTTATTCCCACTGGTCCTGGTTTCCAGGCTGAAATTCCGGTTTGGATTGCCCTTACAAAGGAGGGCAAATTTTATGGTAGTCCTGGAGACACTCTTAGATGGTTGGGTACTGGTGTGTGGCCGACATATAGCCTAAAGAAGAAATTTCATTACAAAAAAGTCGGTGAAGGAAGATCAGATTCTTGTTCTTGTGCTTCTCCAAGATCAACCAATTGCATAAAACAACATATAGAAGAAGCACGAGAGGTTCTAGAAAAAGACATTGACCGTGCTTTCTATACTTGGAAGTTTGATCAAATGGGTGAAGTCAGATCAAAATCATGGACGACCAAAGAAGGGCAAAGGTTCGAAGCTGTTGTGAAAAATAATCGTTTGTCAAATAGTGAAGGATTTTGGAAATCTGTTCCAAAGGCTTGCTAACTCTTCTGCTGAGAAAGTGAGAAAGTTCTTCTTAGTTACTATTATAATGTTTTCCTCATCAAGCGTATGAGACTGCTTGCTAACTCTTCTGATTACTTCTTAGCTGGATGAAGGCCTTGATGATAGCTGTAATCTTTGCAGATGTTTCTCTTGAACACAGGTAATTCACTCCTACATTCTTCTAGTAACTCAAGTTTCCAAGATCTTGATACTTAGTGATTTAAGAACATGCTTCTTTTCCTCCTTAAGATTTTATGTCATAGGTTTTTTTTTATAAAAAATATATCTTTTCTCTTCACGAATCTTGGAGAGATATGTTTCACTCATGAAACAGTTCTTCAATATTTCAAATTTAAAACCTCTATATTCTTAGATCTTCTGAGGATATAAGAACTCAAATGTCCATGATTATCCTTTTTGTTCTACTTCTCGCAAAAATATTCTCGATTAATATTTTTCAAATTTATACTACTTATATATTCAAATTCAAAGATTGTAGAAAATCTAGCAGTGTCAGAGTGCGTAGCCTGGTTTGGTTTAAATGGATTGAATCTTTTGATATCCAAAATACCAAAAATCAAAAATAAATGATTGATAAAATTATAGTTTCTTTGAAAAGTAATGATGTGTTTCACTACATCTGTATCTAACTGACCAATTATTCGATGGATAAAATAAAACTTCAATCTTTTTTTACTAGTCTGTTTAATCTTCAATTTTGTTTTGACCAAGCCGTTTTGGACCTAACATTGGTCAACTATATTATATTAATTAACTAATATTATGATTACAAGATTTGATAAATAAAAGGTTGAGATTTTTTTGTAAATAAAATTGTTTTTGTAAACAAAACTTTGGGCATTTTTTTGTTAAATAAAAGAATTTATATTTTTTCTACCCAAAATTTGTTTTTCCAAACTTTTGGATATAAGAACTCAAATGTCCATGATTATCCTTTTTGTTTTTCTACGGGATTAATATTTTCTAATTTGTACAACTTCTATATTCAAATTAAAAGATCATCTATGTAGAAAATCTAGCAGTGTCAGAGTACGTAACCTAGTTTCGTTTAAATAGATTGAATCTTTTGGTATCCAAAATACCAAAAATCAAAAAGAAATGATTGATAAAATTATAGTTTCTTTGAAAATTAACGACTTATTTCACTACACTTGTTACCTGACCAATTATTCGATGGATAAAATCAATGTTCAAAAAATCGCTAGGCGGTGGCTAAGCGGGTGATAGGAGACTAGCATCTAGGCGGATTAGTAGGAGACTAGCATCTAGGCGGATTAGTAGGAGACTAGCATCTAGGCGGATTAGTAGGAGACTAGGCAAAGCCTAGGGGTTAGCAAAATTTTTGTTAATTTTTATAAATTTTTATCTATATATCGTATTTTTAAAAAGTTTTAATTGTTTTCTTAAAAATTATTTTATCAAATTTATGTTTGAATAAAAAAGTAAAAAAAATTAATAAATAAAATTATAGAATAAAGTTCAACAAAGAAATCAAACTAAAAATCATCAAATTCTTCAAACTAAAATTAGTTTTAATCTAAAAACTTTAAAAATGTCAAGCAAAGAGAAATCTATCTGACTTATTCTTCAAATACATCCATATCCATCACCTGCTCATTTTCAGACTCAACTTCAAAATCAATAGCTATATCATTTTCATCGTCGGAATCGATATCTCTTCTGCACTCATCGTTAAAATTGAAAGTTGAAACTTAAAATAGAGCACAAACAAAATAAACAAAGATGAAAAGATACATTAAGAGAATACAATATAGTTATATAATATATACAGCTAGATAAAGAGAAGATTAAACAAACTTGTAGAGTTCAGAGAAGAACGAGGATGATTATACTAAGTTATTAACTCTAATTCACGTTTCAAAAATTTTTTTCCTCTTTTCTGTAAACTGATGTTGGTTTACTATCAAAACTGTTAAAATTGACTGAAAAAATGATAAAAATAATTACTCTGACTTGGCCGATTTTATCGATTTGGTCCGATTTTTCCGATTTTTTCCGACTTGGTCCGATTTTTTTACTAAACCGGATTTACTTCACTGATTTTATGAAAATCGAGTGGGCTAACCCCGACTAGCCGTCTAGTCGCCAACTAGGCCGATTTTTTGAACACTGGATAAAATAAATCGTTAATTTTTATTGACTAATCTATTTAATTTTCAACTTTTTTTGACCAAGTTGTTTTACACCCAACATTGGTCAACTACATTTGTTAATTAATATTATGACTACAAGGTTTGATAAATAAAAAGTTGAGACTTTTTTGTAAATAAAAAGTTGAAGATTATTTATGTTAACAAAAATTTGGGTATTTTTTGGTAAATAAAATAATTGGTATTTTTCTATCCAAATTGTTTTTTCCAAACTTTTGGATATAAGAATTCAAATGTTCATGATTATCCTTTCTATTCTTCTTCGGGCAAAAATATTTTCAATTAATATTTTTCTAATTTGTAATACTTATATATTAAAATTCAAAGATCATTGATAAAAAATATCTAGCAGTGTCAGAGTGCGTAGCCTGGTTTGTTTAAATGGTTTGAATATTTTGATATCTAAAATACCAAAAATTGAGAAGAAATGATTGATAAAATTATAGTTTCTTTGAAAATTAACGACGTATTTCACTACACCTGTATCTAGCTGACCAATTATTCGATGGATAAAATAAATCTTCAATTGTTTACAAAATAAAAATCTTCAATTTTTATCGATTAATAATCTGTTTAATCTTCAACTATTTTTTTGACCAAACCATTTTAGATCCAACATTGGTCAACTATATTTGTTAACGAATATTATGACTACAAGGTTTGATAAATAAAAAGTTGAGTTTTTTTTTTGTTAATAAAAAGTTTAAGATTATTTTTGTATACAAAAATTTGGGTATTTTTTTGGTAAATAAAACATTTGATATTTTTCAAACTTTTGGATTAAAGTAGTGAAAAGTACTGTAGATGATAAAATATTCACAATTAATAAAATTAATTCATTAGTTTTAAAGAGAAAAAAGAATAAAATCAATTTTTTATTTATCACCTAAAAATAATTTAAACTTTTTAATAGAAAATTTACCATAGAATAAAAAGAAAAGTAGCTTTTAAAAAAAATATCAATTTCTCAGAAAAATAACTCAAATACGATTCATAATTGTTTTTTGAAATAAATACTACAATTTAATTTAAAATTTAAAATATTAGATCACTCAAAGAAAATGTTACTAAAACTTATAACGATTAACAAAAAAATTATGAATTAATTTTCAAAAATGTTATAGATAAATAACTGATACTACTACTTTATTTAAGAAAATAATTTAAAATATATTTTAGGTGAAATACCGAGGATATATAATTTTCATTGAAGAAAACAAGTTGTATAATTTTCTAAGATTTGACATATCATTCTAACTGTTTTAATCTAAAATTTTGTAAAAATTAATTTTTGTTTTGCTAAAAACTTTTTTGAATTTTTTATTTACCAAACAAATATCCAATTTTTATTGACAAAGCCATTTTAAGCCTGATTTTAGTCAACAATTATCATTGACTAACATTAAAAATAAAATGGTGCAATAAAAGTTGGATGTTTTTTTTCTGAGTAATCAACGACAGTTTAAGGAATATTTTGAACATCAAATAGTTGGGTTTTTTTTTTGCTGAAAGCTATGATTTCAGTTTTTTTTTTGGCATTTTCCTAATTTATAAATAAAAAAAAGATTTGAATTTCGATGAAGCAGCTTTATATCTGATTTATTTAGACTATTTTGATAAAAAAAAATCCTAAAATTAATAAAGTAGACAGATTATTCAAGGATCTAAACGCTAGAGACCCATAATGATAAAGACAAAACTCAATACTTGTAACTAACAAAACAGATCTAAGATTTGAAGTAACACTCCAACAAATTAAGACTATAACAAATTAAAACTCAAGACTCAATTCTTGAAGCAGAGAAACACCCAATTTTAAAGACTGCTTTTGATTGATAAGAATGAAATCAGCTATATCTGAAATAAGCACTGAAGAAGAAACACCCAAAACAACAGTAAAATTTCAAGCCTGATGGGAGTGAACAAGCTCTGCCAAAATCCAAAACATTAATAGACAAAAACCACGAAAAATCACAATGAAAGGAGAAAACCAGCAGCTTGCATCATCACCTTACTTGGTCTAGGCAATCTATTTCAACTTTTAAGCACATCCAAAAGCCCTAGTCGCTCTAGGGATTTTCCTCTCTTAAACTTTTCTTTTTCGTACCTCCCAAGCCACCAAGATGCCTTCTTTATCTCCCATCACGTCTCCTAAAAAACTCCAACCCCTCTCACAAATCCCCTTGGTCCTTGACTTTCTCTGGTAAAGTGTGAGTTTTTGTGGTTGATGGTATGGCAGGAGCCAAAAATCCTTAAGCAGTTGCAGATAGCACTCACAAATTAGATTACGAGTTATGTGTCGGCCCTTCTGGCATATTTCAGATATTCCACTAGTGGTTGGAAAATTTGAAACACGATCTCTCCTCGATGTCGATTTGGGTCAACTTGAAAAATGTTCGTGATTCGCTCTTCTATCCTAAATGCCCGATGTTTCTGGGAATAGTAGGAGCTGCTCATAACTTTCATCCTAACACAGAGTGATGCATCCTTATCGATCATCTCTTCTATCATAAAGATAATATTTTGTTGAGTTGTTCTGATATTCTTATACCATATTTCTAACCTGTGCTATGGAAAATGTACGTTCTAATCGACATTGCGTGCCAAGTAATATTTGTATACATTATTTTTAATGAAATATATATTAAGCAAACACTAACGAAAATGATTTGGATTGGCTTAAGTTTTGATGAAAAATTTCATGATTATGTGATTTCTGTAACTTTAAACGATACCAAAATTTACTTTTTAACAAAAAAAAAGTAAATTGTTATAAAAGTTACATTATCATGTTGTGAATATTAGTAAAAACTATGAGTATATATTAATATAATTTCAATTAGAACTTTTTTTTATTGTGTCTATTTAAATTAGCACACAATTAGTTGTTCTTTTGTCTTACAGACAAGACACTTACTGAATGTTTTGCTGTAAACTAGACACTTACAGACAAGAAACATCCCCCAAATGTTTGTATCTTAGCAGATAAATTAGCGGTAATATCAAGTTTGTCAACTTTCACAAAGTCCTATTCTAATTTAATATACATATATTTTATCCCATATTAGCCCTTATTTTAGTTTTTGTCTTTACCTTGTCTTCTTATAATTTTTCTTTATATTTTGCATTCATATATGGTTTAGCGTGTTTTCGAAGAGTCCTAGAGACTCTTTGTGCATTTCATGTCCTTTTAGATACATTTGGAGATGTTTGGAGACTATGGAGCCATAGACACTTGGAGAATGGACCAAAGAAGAAGTTTTGAAGAAGTTTGAAGCTGGGCCACAACGCTGGCCCGCCACCCTGGTCTAGTCTTCCTTTAAGCTGTGACCAGTGTAGAAGAAGGTATCTAGGCCGCAATTTTACCAGACATCAATGCCGGACTCCAACATCCGTTGTTGGAGCTTAGAGACGAAACAACCCAAAGAACCTAAAAGATTGGCCCGGACAAGATCTTCCATTCAGATTTAGCTTCGAAGGTTTTCATGAAAGTTGTAGATAATTTAGTTAGCTTTCGTCTGGAGGTGGTTTCGAGTCATTCCTAGTGGTTCAAGAAAAACAGCAAATCTAGCGAGTACCTATCTACCTAGAGCCAAACAAGCATACACCAGGAAAATATTGGACTGCTACACCGGAACACCCATGTCTAGCATCAGGGACCAAGTCACCAACACCTTGCCTTATAGCACCCAGTACCGGACTCGCCAATCAGGTGTTGGAAGCTTCAAACCCCGAGAAAACACCAGGTGCATCCACCAGACTTCCTCTGCCTGGTGTAAAAGCTTCAAGACACACAACCCAACATTGGACTCCTCAACACTAGATTACTATAGTCTGGTACCAGCCACCAGACTCTAAAACGTGGATCGCTCATATAAATATCCCACACACCTAGTTTTAGAGGATCATCTCTTTTTTGAATTTCTAAGCTTTTTCACAGATATTTTTACAATTTTAATGCAAGTTTGAATCTTTTTGTCTTTAATCTATCTTTTTTTTTTGTTTATCTATTCCATAATCATGATTAACATCCACTTTTTCTTGAGATTTATGGGTTTTTTAGTGAGTTTGTCTTTATGCTCATTTTGTGAGATAGATTATGGGTTTCTTTGATTGATCTATGACATATAGGGCTAGATTAGTTATTTTCCTTTCTTATCTAGTAATACTGATGCTAGATTAGTGTTGAGAAAGCTATGTAGAACAGAGGGAATTTCATACCCACAAGGTGTTTGATAAAATTTCCCAAAAAACTATATAAGAGATTTTACTTGCTTAACCTATGAGAATAGATGTTTAAGAATTATCATGGAGAGTGGAACTTATGTTTAATTCTTGTAATTACATTTTTCACAAATGAGAGTTTGATCTTGATTAATGGTATTTAGCAAAATGATTAGTTTCATGAGAGTGGATTAGTCTTGTTTAAGTGTCCTAGGCTAAAAAAAATTGATTGATTGTGAGTTCATCATAGATTGATCACTACCTTTATCATTGTTAATCTTGTTTAAATTGCTTGATTTCTTTAATTATCTTGTTTATCTTGCCTAGTTTATCTATTTGTTTAATTTTATTTTGAATCATTAGGTTGCTAGTTTGCAAATTAAAAACGAACTTGCTTTCTTGGATTAAGTAGTTCTATGTATTCTTAGTGTTTGAGACTTATCCCTTTCGGATTGATAACCTAAAGCATTACAATGATATGAGTATGCCTAAGGGATTGTTTTAGGTTATCCACTTATTAATTGGGATTAGAGTTCAACATTAGGATTTCAGATCTTCTTGAGATCAAGCCTTTATTTTCTTTTGTTACCTGTTGTATCTCACTTGGTTTCTCTTCTTTTCTTTCAGGTACAAACTTCTGAGCTGGGAATGATAAACAACTAAGGACCAAGAGCTGCAAACTTGGTTGGAGCTGGTGATGCTGATAATGCTCAAGCAAATAGCCAGGGAATACAAGCACCAGCTGTGGAGAACTACAGTTTTGAGATCAAGGCAGGGTTTATAAACATGGTGCAGAGCATCAAATTTCATGGGTTAGCTATAATAGACCCTCTTGATCATCTGGATCACTTTGATATAATCTTTGGGCTGACAAAGATGAATGGGTTATCAGAAAACAGGTTTAAGCTCAATTCCTTAGAACCCCAACTGGGGAATTACTCAGACATAGCTGAGTTCAACATCACAAAAGTATTTAGAATTGCAGAGAATTGAAATAGACAAAGGTTATAAACGAAGAACAAGTTGAAACAGGAGATCTGATGGTGCCCCTCTTGGTGGCTCCTCTTCTGGGCGTGACTCTCTTCTAGGATTTCTGGTGAGAAATGTGGCACACCCTTCTAAATGACTTAAAAGGGGTTTATATAGTGTCTTGAGTCCTCGAGAATGGCTAAGGCTTGCAGGAATAATGACGGGAGTGACTTGGGCTTTAATATGGGCTTCTGAGGCACGAAATTGAGCTCCCCGCGGGCTAAAATTTCGCACCCCCGACGGATGACGTTTTGGACGCGGGTGAGCTTCTGATTGTGATGATTTGCCTTCAGTGTATCGACCATATCTGGAGATCTAACCGTTGGATTGCTTTGATTCTACTTGTATTGGAGATCTGATTGTCTCCACTCTCTTGTGTCAAAATTTTATGATCGGACGGTGGTAAGACCTCCGTTTGCTACCAAACTTCCGACGGTCTGAATTTATCTAAAGTTATGCTTTTTGCTCCCAAGTGCATTCATTTTGTCAAAATAATCTGAAAACTCTTTTGAGATTTTAAAACATGGAAATCACTTAAAATTCTTTAAATCTGAGTGGAAACATCTGCATAAGATATTAAAAGTGATCCATAAAAGTGGTCAAAATCAGGTGTTATCACCAACCAGGTTACCAAAAAGAGTACAACTACTATAAGAATCACCCCAATTTTTTATAGAAGCGGAAATGTAGCCAACCCACAAAACCAAGTCTATCACACCGAGAAGAACTTCACTCAATGTGTCCAACAACAAGGCTTTATCGCTCCTCAACAATAAAGTTTAGCTCAGGGGCTAAAGATCAAGAAGTGAAGAACATGCTTCAACAGCTACTACAGTGTCAAGCTTGTGCTGCTATGGACTTGAGCAAGAAAATGGCAGAGATCCACAACAAAGTAGACTGCTCATACTCTGACTTGACTTCAAAGGTTGAGACTTTACACACCGAGATAAAGCAAATGGAGAATCAAAGTGCTCAAAAAGCTTCACTCACTAGTAGAAGCATGGAGAAACTAAAGAGCAATGTTGGAGAAAACCAAAAGGCGTATTGCAATGCCATTTTCTCCAATGAAGTCCATTCTATTGCTGAAAATGAAGCTGATATAAAGGAGGTTGAGATTCTACTTTATAATCCACAAACTACAACTCAGTGAGGACATTGGTACTTCGACATCTTGTAGTTGTGGCTCGGTTAAGTCTGGCTAGCTTGAATAGCCTCATCACGGCCGAGAAGACATCGGATGTTAATCGGAATTTTTACATCAAAAGATGAAAACACTCTCTTTGTGAAAAAAAAATTAGAGAGAAAACGGAGATAGAGAGCATGGTAGACTTACTCATCTACCGTTGTATGAGAGAGTTTAATAAAATTGGTTTTGCGTATTCAAAATTTCAAGTTGCCTTTGTTTTTCGTTTTTATCTTTTTATTTTAGAACACAATTTTTAAAGAAAACCAAACATCCAAAATTGAAAAATGGTAGCCTGAATCCCAAAAAAAAAATGATTTTTTTTTTAATTTAGAGTTTACTACTTTACTTATCAGGATTATGTTTTTTCTGTAAAAAAAAAAATGGTTACTTTTTATATATTTTCTTTACTATATTCTAGTTCTTTTCCATTATTCTATTCTCGAAGCATAATCCATGTTTCTTATTTTTCCACCAGCTTTGATGGTGTCTATTATTTTTTCCACCAAGATGGCACCGTTTTGATCGTGGTACTTCTTTTTCTCCTTCATTGGTAGTATTTCTTCAATACTATATGATAATTTTTTCTAGATCGAATTTGAATTCAGTTATTTTCATTTATTTTACATCATCTGACATCTTAAAGAATGTATTTATGGCTAATTTTGTTTTTTTTTTAAATTAAAAATAAAAACTAAAACCTTATAAATTTAAACCCATAAAACCCAAGAAAATAAATTCTAGAAGCCCATATCAAAACTAAAAAACCCTAATCCTACTACCTCTATATAAATAATTGAGAGAGAAGAGAATGGGAAGAGAGAATCTTACAGTGGAGCTCTGCTGGATTGTCGCCAGCGGGAGAATCTCTGAACCAGTAGTGGAGCATGAGGAAGGAAAAGTGAAAGTGAATCAGAACCAAAGGCCGAGGTTTCAGGGAAATTTACCGCCGAACCATGGAAAAACAGACGCTAATCTTGGTACCATTGTAAAGATGTTTCTCTCAGCTTTCTAGAACATCCTTATTTGCTCGATTTGGAGATGTGGTTTGGGAGTTATTTCTGTTTCTTTCAGAGAAGTCGAATCTGTTCAAATCTGAACATCTGTTTTCAGGTCTGCTTTTCCAGTTTCAAGTGGTGGTTTGGAGAGGACGATTCCGACCAGATCTGAGCAGTAGAGAAAAGATTTGGGGTGTGTTTCAACCGCAACGCTATTTTTCAAACTTGACTTTTCGATGTGAACACAAGGTGAAGATTAGTTTGTAGATTCCTAAGATGCATTAATTAACGAGTAACATATGCTTGGCATAGGGCTTAGACATAAATGGTGATTGATAATTGTTGCATATTGAATAGTAACTGAGAGATAATATTGATTTGTTAAGTGTGTTAGTCTAAATGTTAGAAACAGTATGGACACGATTGCCACCATTGTGTACACTGTTATTTGATGGTAAGATTATTGTGAAGTTGTAATGATCGAGAAAGGGCTTACAACCTATTGTCAAACCCTGAAGTTGGCGATGACACTTTGTTGCTTGTCAAACCCGATATAAACGGTGGCAGAGAATGAGTAACTTGGACATGGTTCTTGGGAATTTGAAGTAGACTTGTTAGAATGAATGCTGTGAAGTGAGTGATTGTATGTAGAAATGTTTATATTTTTTATCCTGATTTTCATTTCTCAGATAAGTTTATGTTTGTTTTTGGACTATATTTGTTATTCTGACAGAAAGAAGATTCTAAAAAATTTCTTCTACTTACAGGAAAACGATCATTTCTACTAATATTTCAGTGATGTCAAGTTTAATAGTGAGAAGGGTATCGTGTGAAGATATACAAGTGGTAACACAAACAACACTTTACATTTTATAAGGAATTTTCAGGTTTCTCTACAAAGTTATACTCATTTGCATTTTATTTTTAGTGGTAATCCTCTAGAATAGTACATCGTTTAGGGAAAATCGTGAAAATAGTATAATGTACTATTCTTACATATTTTTTTCCAATCGCTGTACAATTTTTTTGATTAGTTGGTCATTTTGTAATATTTTAAAAATTCTGTCTTTAATTTATATTAGAGATTGTCTTTCCTAAACTTCGATGTGTATATTTCCTTGGAAATATGTGCCAAAAGACATTGTCTTTACCAGCCAAAAGACATTGCCTCAGTGGCTCTGATGGTTATCTCTGATATATTCATAAATTGCATCATTTAATGTACATATTCTAGTCCAAATCATGTCTCATTTGCATGCATTTTAGGTCTTTACGCATTTTTTTAGGACTTAGAAGATTGCATTAGGTCTAAGAGAGTTTTGCATGTTTTGGAGTGTTAAACAGGTGCTTTTGGAGTTTATTTGGAGTAGAGGATGTGATTCAGATGAAGAAATGGAGTTGAAATTATCAAAAATGGTGAAAAGGAGCAATTTTGGGTTTCTCGGCAAAATGATGTACTGATGGCCGAAGATTCTCGGCCAAAATCATTTCCGCGGGTAGCTCTCTCGGCCAAAAACACGTACCGCGGTCAAGTCTCTCGGCCAAAAATCCCGGGTGCAGATACATTTTCGAAATCGCGTCACCGGAAGATCTTGCCGGCCGATTCAGCTTACAGGGTCTTCAGTAAAGTTGGAGATAATTGAGTCAAAAACCCAGGACAGGTTGAATCAAGGCATTTGGAGCACTGAGCTGAAAGATACGGTCACCGGAAGACAGACCTCTCTCGCATCCATTCCGGAGCAATCCGATACTCTTGAATGATCGCCTTTCCCGGGAACCTTCCGATCCGATTCAGCTGTCAAGTGCTTCATAAAAGCTGGAGAAGATTGGATCATGGTTCCAGAGCAGGTGGAGTCATAGGATTTGGAGGCGTGAGCAGAGAGTTAAGCTTGTCAGAAGGCACGCCTGTCTCGCTGCCGTTTTGGACCGACCCGATGAGCTCCAAAGAATGCGAAGGACGATGCACTTCCAGACCGATTCAGTTTACAGAGCCTTCATCAGGATCCGATATATTTGAGTCCACTTTCCAGAACGTCTGAGATCATTCAATTCGGAGCTATGAGCAAGAAGATAACGTTTCCGGAATGGACGCATGTCTAGAAGCCTCTTTCTGATCGTGTCAATGCACTGCGAAGATGAGCCCTCCAGGAAACCTTCCACTTCCCAAGCGCCGAAGGTTCCTTCACCAAAGTTGAAGATGTATGAGTCTTCTGTCCACTGAAATTGGAATCACACCATTCGGACCTGTATCCTGGAAGTTACTCTCTGCTGAATGCGAAGTGGTCCGAGGAGCCCTGAATGCTGCGAGATAGTCTTGCGACTTGGTTAACTCGCAAGGCCTGAAGATGAATGCCTAGAAGTTGAGCTGCGAGTTTAGAAGTGCGGGTAAGCTATCACTGGATAAGGTCTGAGGCTTTCGAGCAAGAAAAATGCTAAGTTCACAATCGTGCGACTTAGGCATGCGAGCTGGCCACGCTTGGAACTAAACCGCACGGACGTTCGCAATCTATACCGACTAGAGCCTGCGACCTGGGAGTAATGATGACCAAGTCACACACACACCTTCCCCAGATTTCCTCTTGGTCATGCGACTTGGAGAGGAAGAGGATTAAACCGCACAAAGACTCGCAAAACACATCTACTTGGGCATGCGGCTGAGACTAAGGGATTTATGGCGCACAAGGCTGCTTCTATAGCTGTGCGACTTGGGCCTGTGACTTGGGAAGCACCTGACCATGTCGCACACCAGCCACCAGACCCAACTGAGCCGGGTCAGTACCCAGTTTGTCCTGGGCTGACCCGGTCCATTAACACTTAGTATATATAGCTTTTTGGAGAAAACCCTAAAAATCTTATCTTCTACGTAGTTTTCTCTCTAGTTTTCTTTCCTTTTTATTGTAAAAATGGTTTTGATTAAGAGATATCTGAAGTGATTTGATCATTCCAAAGCTGTTTCTTATCAATTACTCATCTCATCTAAACTCCTAATCATGATCAACATCACCTCTTGCAAAGGAAATGGTGTGTTCATCATGATTAGTGAGTAGTCTACTTTTAAGCTTCTAGGTGTGTAGATTAGGGTGCTTTGATGTTTGATTTATGATGTTTAGGTTCTAGATTCTCATTTCCTTTCCTTAGTTAGCTGCTCTTAATGCTAGATCTCTCATTATAAGCTTGATCTAGTACTTAGGCATTTCTCCACCCACAAGGTGTTTGATGAAATGCCTGAATGAGCTAACTTAAGGGTTTATGCCTTTTTCATCATGAGAATGATTGTTAAATCCATGAATGACATATTAAACTGTTTCTTAATGCTCATTGATTCATATTTCACAAATGATGATTTGGTTTGAAAATAGATTAGTGTAGAGGTTAGTGCCTTCATGAGAGGATTAATCTAGATTAAAGTTCTAAGTTAATTGGAATTTGAGATCATGTGATGCTTGCTTTATCTTTCTGTATAAGATTCAGTCTTTCTTAGATCTTATTTTGATGCACAAAGAGGCTGTCTGGCCATTTTAGACTTGGAACCTTATGCTTGTTGATTGATTATTCATCTAATGGGAATTATTATGGATTTGGTAATTAACAAAGGGATTTTTGTCATGAGAATGAATTAATTTTATTTGGAAGTCTAGACTAAAGAATTGCAAGTGTTGCATTGTTTGCTTAGCATCATGAATTCACAATTAAAGCACCCTAATCAATGATCACATCTAGAGGTTTAGCTTTCTCTTTATTTGAATTTGAGTTTTTGTTTTGTTTGTCTTGTTTGCTTGTTTAATTCTTAATTACTGCTTGTTCTTGTTTGCTTTATGTTTATAGATCACCTTCTTACCAACTCATCTGCTTATTAGACTTGAATTAAGATAGCTCCTCATAATTCTAGTGTCTAGAATCTCTCCATTTGGATTGATACCTCAAGTGCTACAATGACATGAGTAGTTGAGGAATTGATCAAGGATTGAAAAATTCCTACTACCAATTTGGCGCCGTTGCCAATTGGAGATTCATTTTAGCATTAGGACTTTGGATCTTCTTGAGATCAAGTCATTTTCTTTTGTTTACTGATTATATTTCAAGTGCTGTCTTTGTTTTCAGGTGTATGAACACCAGAAGTCAAGCAAGAAGACAAAGAGAAATAGCTGTGCACATTGAGAGGTTGGTATGGATCAAGGGCAACAGGCTCATATGGTGGTAATGGAAACCACCAGAATCAGGAAGAGCCACCACCTCCACGTCCAAGAATAGTTGTGGGAGCTGGTGATGAGGCCAATACTCAGGGTCAGAGATATGGGATTCAAGCTCCTACACCTGAAAACGATTTTGAGATCAAATCTGGCTTGATCAACATGGTGCAATCAAAGAGGTTCCATGGCTTGGCATTAGAAGACCCATTAGATCACATTGACAACTTTGATAGAGTTTGTGATCTAACTAAGATGAATGGAGTGAGTGAGGACAGTTTCAAGTTGAGGCTATTCCCTTTTTTTCTAGGAGACAAAGCTCATCAGTGGGAAAATTCTCTACCTCAAGGATCAGTCACAACTTGGGAGCAATGCAAAAGAGCATTTCAGAAGAACAGCAAGGTTAAGAAATGAAATCTCAAGTTTCATTCAGAAGAACCATGAATCATTTTGTGAGGCTTGGGAAAGATTTAGAGGATATACCATGCAATGCCCTCACCATGGATTCTTGGATTGTCAGCTGCTAAGTACCTTCTACAGAGGTGCTTTACCAAAGGTCAGACTTCTCTTGGACACAGCTTCAAATGGTAATTTCATGACCAAGGAAGTCAATGATGCCATGACCCTAGTGGAGAATGTAGCTCAGAGTGATGAGCTTTATGGATCAGACTTTGAAAGGAATTCAAGAGGAGCTGTGAGTGCTGAAGAGGAAAGGACAAGGAAAGACATCAAGTCTCTCAATGAGAAGCTAGACACACTTCTCTTAGCTTCTCATCAGTCAGCCAACTTTGTTAGAGATGTGAATCATGTGTTTCAAGACACATTTCAAAGGGAAGACATCACAGCTGAGGTGAACTTTGTAGGTGGCCAACAAGGTTACCAAAAGGGCTTTACCTACTACAAGAATCCCCCAAACCAGAACTTCTATCTTCAAAACACTCAACAACAAGGTTTTGTCTCTCCCCAACAACAAAGTCTCCAACAGAACTCAGAGAATAAGGATCAAGAAGTGCAGAACCTGCTCCAGCAAATCCTCAAAGGTCAAGCAAGTGGTGCCATAGACTTCAACAAGAAAATGGCAGAGATTAACAACAAGGTGGATTGCACTTATTCTGATCTTCTAACTCAACTTTCAACCTTGGCTTCCAAAGTCAAGACTCTAGAGAACAACAAGGGTCACTGCAGTTCTCAAGCTCAAAGATCATTACCAGGGACATCAGTTGCACATCAAACAGAATACTGCAATGTAATCCTCTCAAATGATGAGAATCATGCTGCTGTCCAAGAAATTGAGGACCTTCTCCATGGCAATGTCTCAAGTGAAAAATGCCTGACAAAATATGATGAGAACGCCATCATAGACGAGTTTGAGTTCCTGTTCTGTGATCTCAATGAGGACATTGAGAAAGAAGGTGGGGAGGCAGCTTGTTTTGATATGAAAAAGAATGATTATGAGATTGCTGAAGGAAAGGATCAGAGAATGGTTCACGGAAGGACATCTGATGGAGTCTCTAGCACTGGTACAACAAGGGTGAAACCCAAATCTATTCCCAAGCTAGGCAACCCAGGAAAGTTCTCCATCTCATGCTTTCTTGGAAATTTGAAAGTGGAGAATGCTTTGTGTGATTCTGGATCAAGCATCAGTGTAATGTCTTTAGACATGGTGGAGAGACTAGGGATCAAGAGTCTTAAGCATCACCCCATGTCAATCACCTTTGGAGATTCATCCTCAAAGAAGCCATATGGAATCCTTGAAGATTACCCAATGAAGATTGGTAAATGCACTATTCCAACTGATTTTTTAGTCATGAAGATGAAAAAGACCAAAGAGCTACCTCTTCTGCTTGGAACTCCATTTCTGAACACCACAGGAGCAAGGATGGACTTTGATACTCAAAGAGTGGTGCTTTCTAAGGTAGATGATGAAGTATCTTATCCCCTTAAACCTCCTCTTGCTGGATTTTGTGGGGTTATATCTGATGATTCTGATGAGTTGAAACACTATGAGATGAAGTATGTGGGGAGTATTGGAACTATAGAAGAAGCTCAACCCCTTGCCTCTGTCGAGAAGAAGAAAGAATCCTTAGTAAGACCTGATCTTGAGTTTGAAGGAGATTTCTTTAGCGATGATGAAGCTTGCTTGGAATCTTTTTCTCCTACACCAAGTGAGAAGAAGGTCAGCAGCAACAAAAGCAATGGTTCAGGGTCTCAAGACAAGAACCCAACAAGCACCAAATCATTCACTCTTGGGTCCTCTTCTCAAGTCTTAACTCTCACTTCATGGAAGTTTGATGGTGGAGCTGTGGAATACAAGGTTAAAGGCATTGGAGGATCAAAACCTTTTGCAAAAGTCAGGGCAATCCTCACACAAGAGCTCATAGACAAAGGGTCATCTGGTGTTCAAGAGCTGATGAACAGGGACCTAATGCTTGAATTCATGGACAAGACAAGGAGCATCAAAGCTCCTCATCTCACTCACTAAGAAAAGAGTATGAAAAGTCAAACTTAGTGACTTAAAACAAAGTGCTCTTGGGAGACACCCCAAGTTTATCCTTGTACATAAATCTTTTTATTTTTTTCTCTTCCTTTTCATGTTTTAGGATATTTTGATGGGTTTTGTGAAGTGTTTTCAGGTCTAAGGTAACTTAGGGATGTTGTGGTCCAATGACAAAGTGAAAAGGAGTGTGAGAACAAGCTGAGAAATGTCTTAAGAAATGAAAACTGGTGAGCCGCCTGGTGTGCTACTTGGGTGTGCGAGTTGGACAAGGTCAGGTCCCATCTAGCACACCTGTTCTCAAATCACACCTACTTGGGTGTGCGATTTGGACAAGGTCAGGTCCCATCTAGCACACCTGTTCGCAAATCACACCTACATGGGTGTGCGAGTCAGTTCTCCCCTGATCCAAGTAGCACACATGTTCGCAAATCACACCTACATGGGTGTGCGAGTCAGTTCTCCCCTGATCCAAGTAGCACACCTGTTCGCAAATCACACCTACATGGGTGAGAGTTGGTCCAAGACAAGTCCATGCCGCACAAGGGAGTTCAGGCCAAGCCAAACCCATCTCCAGTGATGTCTGGCCTCATCTGGTGCAGATACTCACTCCCCTTTTGCATAAGAACCACACCAGGTATCACTCCAAACACTTGTAAATGAGCATTTAACATTTTTCTTTATCTTTTGCATTTCATGTTTGATTTTTCCTCTTTCTCATGCTTTTATAACACAAGGGACTGTGTTATTTAAGTGTGGGGGAGAGGCTTTGTGTTTACTAATCATGTTTTATATGTTCTTATTTTTTCTTTTGCCTTTTTGAGTCTCATTTAATCATGCATAGCATTTAGTGCATATAAAAAAAAAAACCAAAAAAATTGAAATATCTGAAAATTTTAACACAAAAAATGATCATGTAGTTGCATTTCACATTTTAGGATTGAGTCTAGTTTCATCATATAGGTTGCATTGTGCATGGGAGTAATGATAGTTTTTTTTCTTGAGAGTACATCACTCTGAGAATTTAGATTAAATATGCTTGTGAAATGACTTATGTGCTTGCAAGGCTTGAAATGATTTGAATCTGAGAAGCAAGTTTGAATTGAACTCAACTCTAATAAGTGAAAACTTTGAACTTGACTTGAAATTATCTTGTGATGCATTGTTTGAATAAGCTTGTGGATACATATATACATATTTAAGCTAGAATCCTGTTTTTACCACCCTCTTCCTTAGCTCAAATAGCTGAGTCCACATCTGGATCAGTTTTCCTCACCCTGAACCCATCCTTCTTTCAAGCCAAATGTTTGTGTGTGATTGAAAGGCCACCTTGGATCAAACTTAGCAGAAAGTGTTAGGTTTAGAGCGACAAGGGCAAGTCTCATTGAGTGTTAAGTTCCATCATCAAGGAGCCGAGAGATTTGGCGAGAACTAAGTGTCGGGGAATACTTGTTGGTGAGTGGAAAAAGGAGAGATGAGTGGAAACAAAAGGAAAGTGGTGAGAACTAGGGGATAGAAAAAGAAAAGAAATCAGTCTTGGAAGTTTTGAGTCAAAGAAAGTGAGCTCTAGTGTTTTGAAAAGAAAAAGTCTAGCCTCAAGGTGAAAAGAAAAGAAAAGAAGCCCAAGAGCTCAAATGTTTTAAAAAGAAAGAAAAAGAGGCTAGAGGTTACAAAAGAAATTGAAAAAGAGCTATGTAAAGTTTGAACTCCAAGACTTGAGTGTGAAAATGAAAAGTGAGTCCCCTAGTGAGAGGAAAATGAGTGTGGAAAGTGAGGTTCTTGAGAGGTTGAGCAAGTGAGAAAGCTTTGAGTAGAGTGTGGGGTGGGATGAGTCATTGCCCTTGTATGCATAGGTTGCTTTTTACCTTTAGCATTCTACCAAAGTTTGATCATTCATAGAGAGATCCCTTGCTGCATTGAACCCACTCAGGCGCTTATGAGATCATTTTAGTCTCATTACCTCACCATAGCCAAACTTTGCTTGTTTGAACATTGCATCATTTGATCCACTTGGTAAAGAGCTTTGATATATCATGGTTTTTATGGTTTTTAACCATGGTATATGTCTTATTTATAGAGTCTTTTTAGTGTCTTTCGAGTCTTTTGGAGTCTTTTCAGGTCATAGGTACGTTTGGAGCTTAACTGGAGACTTTGGAGCACTTTGGAGCTTAATCGTG